AAGGCCAGGAAACGAGCTTTTCCTGTTTTGCTAGTTGAAGAGACCAGTTGAAGACTTGAAAACCAACGAAAGCAATGCCGCGTAAATGACGGTATCATATCAACCTGTTTTTTGCGTTTATCAGTACCTTTTCTAAGTTTTTTTTTTTTTTTTTTTAAACAAGCACGACGAAAACACTAGTACCCAGTCTTTTTGATGATGACATTTGGTTAGAGGAAAGAGGAGGTTAGAGAGGGTAAAAAAAGAACAAAATCATTGAATTATCGACACCACAATTCACGGAGCTTATTATTAAAACAAACAAATAAATATTACTCTTTTCACCCATAAAGAGCTAGTTTTTATTTATTAGAAATAAACAAAATTTCCTCGTGTGGATTTCCTGTGTAAGAGTAAGACTGGGCAGTGTGTTGCTCGTCTAGCCATGCATGCTGGGTTTTGGCGGGGAAATTTCGCGCCGTTCTTCGAAGGATCTCCTCGTGCCGTCGTCGTCTTCCCCGGGTTAGACGCTACTTGCTCGTGTTGAAGTTTCATTTTTAGGGTTTTCTTTGGACCTTATATTAAGTAAACCTTTTAATGGCAGAGAACATGCAAAACCTAAAGGATTGGACTCTAAAAGAAGTACACGAAAAGATAAAACAACAATTTGACAGCGAGGAAATCGGCAAAACATTTGAAGGTGAGACAGCACGGACGCCATTTTGTCCTCCGCCAGGTTTCTGCCGGTCTTTGTCCTCTTTATTTCTCTTTATTTCTTTGCTTTTTACCTTTCAACATAGATCAAAAAATCGATGGTCGTGCCCTCTTACGCTTGGCAAAAGAAGGGACGATTGAACAACTGAATGCATGTGGTTTAAAAACAGTCGGTGAACAAATGAAATTAAGAGACTTCGTCTTACCACTAGAAGAACCTTTCAAATTGACCCGAAAGAAGCCAACTATAGCCCAGATAAAGTCGATGACAGATTTAAACCAGAGGCTTTACAAAGCTAAGTAAGTTCACTTTTCTTATTAGTATTATTWTTCTTAGAAGATGCATATTGCGACCCGATATTGAAAAAACAAAAAACAGTTTATCATATTCGTTTTTGCACTATAGCACGTTCACTCTCTAATTTATGGTCATTTTTCAAGGTTTCTTTTGTCCTGCCATTGAGTGTTAAAATYTGAATGTTATTTAATAACAGCATCTAACATTTCCTTACAGAAGAAATGAGGTTGCCAAACAAGCAACAAAAAAATGGCCTGGTAATGTAATTCCTTTGTTTCGAAAAAATAAAGCGGCAAGTAAAGAACTGGAAAACTTGGTCTCACAATTGGACGAGACTTGTTCATTCCCACCCGCCTCCTTTGACAAAGATGGAATACGACAACACATCCTGGACGTCCTCAATGAGAGGCGCCGAAAAATTAGAGAAGGTCATGACTACACTCAGGTNGCAGATAGCTATTCCTTATTTTTCCAATTTGTTTTGAACAGGGTATGGATTTTCACTTTTTAGTGTCTTAAACAGGGTCAGGGATTTAGACCGCTGGCGGCACGTACCTATCCAAAACGGGGTCGAGTACGTGTGCGATCACTCTAGAATTAAACTACATACTAACAAATAGCGGCTATTTAGAGACAAATTTTCAGTATTATTGAACCAGAACGCAATAAAGATGAATGAAAAATGGTCCCATGCGGATTCATCTTCATTGTTTTCTTCATTGATACTGACAAGCTGTCTCTAAATAGTCGCTATTTGTTAGTATTTAGTTTGATTTTATTTCATGGTTTGCCTGCGTTTGCTCTAATAGAAAAATGTCTATTTTTTCTTACGCAAAAGTTCGGATAGGTGCTAGAGCAGAGTCACTTGAACCATGAAATAGAAACTAAATACTTAGTTACTAATAGGTACCATTTAGACACTATCACTGAACCAGAACAGTACAAGGAGATTACTTTGATTGTTAAAGTGGTCTCTTGGGTATTGCTTATTGGATCAAATAAAGTGTTCTGGTTCAGTGCTAATGACTATTAGGAACTAATAGTCCCTATTAGTTAGTACTTTTTAGTTCTTATTTCATGGTTCATGTGACTCTGCTYTATTATTGTTTTATTTTTTGAATCATTTGTACCTCTTCATCCATAAAACAGTGGACCACGCACAGGAAGATGCCCTGAAACATGTAGAAACACATSGTGTATTAACTATTTTATAAGACTGGAAATATTCGCGTCACTTAGAGGGACAATTCTCACCTGAGAAGAGTTGACGACAATTGAAATGTAAAGAAGAATCCAATGAAAGTTAGCAGCGAAACCAAGTGACCATGCAATGCCAAGTATGGGTAGAAGGGCAGCTACACCTTTAAACATCTTTCTGTCGATTAAATGGAAAACAAAAATTGAAAAAGAACATAAATGCAAGCATAACAATGAGAGTTAAGTATAACTTTAACATAACTTCTTGATTACGAACAAATCATTGTTACCACCGCCATGCTGCAACCGTGCCTTTGCATCGAAGCAAAGACGTTCGTCGAGCGTGCAATCACTGAAAAAAATCGTGCGCTTTAATCCCAAAACCAAGGGTCACGTGACCCACAGTTTTGACTGGTGGTGCAAGAAGGTTATGGCTAGGGTTTATGTTTGGAAAGGGTTAGAGATGCTGAACTAGGGTTAGGCTTAGGCTTAGGGCTAGGGTTTGGCTTTAGGTGTAACGCAGGGTTAGAGATAGGGTTAGGGTTTTAGACAAGGTCTAGTCACGTGACTGGCCTCCTGCAATCAGAACTGAGACCTTAACTGAAATCTGTACTGACATGTTGCAGTGCTCCAGTAGTTATAGCTTTCTAGCTATGCGTGCAGATCTTGTTCACCACGCCCATACCTTGGACTTTGCGCGTTTTGCTATAAAGGCTCCAAACGTTGGATATTGCGAGTACCTCCTCTATAACTGCGTGCGGCCTCATGGGTTTTGGCTAAAAAGTTGCCAATTGGGACTATTCTTATTTAGAGAAACTTTTTCAGATAAGTTTGAAATAAAATAATCAATACAGTGGGAAAAAGTATTTTTTGTTTAACCCTTTAACAGGCATGCGGACGAATTCGTCCGCTAATCGACCACTCTCTTTTAAAAAATTCCCTTTTCTCAGTTAAGTGACCAAGGTGGTAGCAATGTCTTGAGTGTGTTGTTTAGGACATTACCTGGCTGCTACATTCTAAACTAAGACTTCTGCTTCTTTTTCGTGACCATTACAGTCACTTTTCTTTTGGTGAGATCTGAGCTGCGCACGCTTACAATTTAGACATGGACACTAGAGAATGGCTTGAATTCTTGCCAGTTCTACTGCTCAAAATCCTTACATTCATGCCGAAACTCAACTTTTTCAAGACGTTTGACACATTGACTTAACATTGGTCAGTTTATTGTCTATTGTTTTATTCAGTAAGCCGAGAAAACGCTCCTTTCTTTAGGTCCACTCCCCGACTTACATGTTTTCTTGGGTCACACTCGCACAGATTTATGGGTAATTGCGTATTTTTTCGACAAGAACTAACCCGTACTCTGCATTTTTAATATTTTTTT